GAGTAAATCACACTATGATACACTCAGGAGATAATCCCATCACATGTGTCTCCACTCCCCCTATTCATTCATTAAGGCATTGGGGAGGGGGAGTGGATGTTTGCATGCTGTTCATGTTTGATTGCGTTATGTGTTTAGACTTCTTGGACTGTATATATACTGAGCTGGTCTTCAATAAAGCAGATCCCTGTTGGAACTTACATACAGCCTGCCTGGTGTTTGTTCTGAGCTGGATTGGAACGACACATAGCTGTAGTTCCAATCCCGGATTATCGGACGATCGAAGAATCAGACGTTGCGGTCTGACATCTGATCCATTAGTAGCAGAGGAGTGCCGGGAGAGTGGAACCGAGCGAGCAGGGGCTCGTTACAATGCCATAATGCCATGCGCCACTGTGCATGCGCACCCGGTCTATTCCAGCTGCCTCTGCTTGTTGAAAGCGCGCACAAATGGGTGTTTCCATTGGACCTCACAAGATAACAGAGCCATCTGCAAATGGGAAGGTGGGGGCAACAATCATGGGACCCAACAAAGAAGATGGAAGAAAAGCTTTAGCAGTGGGACAAGCTGCATGCAATGTAATTGGTGACACCTGCAGCAGAATGGGATCAACAAGTAGGGTTTAATAGGATGTATATAAACCCTAACAATTTGCCTAAGAAAACTACAAAAAAAAAAAAAAAAAACTATTGATCTTGACAGAAATACAGAGCTTTCCTGTGTCCTGGGCACACTTCCTGTGTTAGTTCATGGAGTCCTTCAAAGTCTTATCTTGCACTACAGAACAATTAGTCTTTATGCTGTGAATATTAGGAGAATAGCCAGGTTTTAGTAGTAAACAACAGACAATTGGGCAGGGCTGACACCAAGGGGTCTATTCACAAAGCTGCCGAGGGCAGCCGAGTGAATGACCGATCAGCAGTGAAGTGAGCCGAACTCTTTTCGGCTATTCACTTCAGGCTGGTACGGCTGATTTCAGCCGATATACGGCTGAAATCAGCCGTACATCGGCTTGCTTCGTGTGGCTTCGAAACAGCCGAACATGCTCAGCATGTTCGGCTGATCGGAAGTGCAGAAGGAGTTCGACTCAGCCGATCCAACATCTGGATCGGCTGAGCCGAACCTCCGGCAGGCTTCACACTGCTGTTCGGGCTATTCTGAAAGATCCCGAACAGCAGTGAGAGAATAGCCGAATGCCGCCGAGCGGCATTTGGCTCGGCTGTTCTGCTCGGTCCCTCAGAGGCACCGAGCAGAACAGAAAAAGAGTGAAAAAAGTAGAAAAAAGTAAATAGAAAACGATTGTGCAGAGCTAGCAGTGACAGCTAGCTCCGCCCAATAGTTTCCTATTGTCCGGCGGCTCTGCTGCTGTAAAAAAAAAAAGTTAAAAAAATGTAAAAACTCTCCCTGGGGCCCCGGGAGCCCCCCCGCTCCCGGCCGCCAAGGAGAGAAACCCCGCTGTGTCTTTTTTTCTTCATTCTGGCTTTTGGCTGCTGTTCGGGCTATTCTGAAAGATCCCGAACAGCAGTGAGAGAATAGCCGAATGCCGCCGAGCGGCATTTGGCTCGGCTGTTCTGCTCGGTCCCTCAGAGGCACCGAGCAGAACAGAAAAAGAGTGAAAAAAGTAGAAAAAAGTAAATAGAAAACGATTGTGCAGAGCTAGCAGTGACAGCTAGCTCCGCCCAATAGTTTCCTATTGTCCGGCGGCTCTGCTGCTGTAAAAAAAAAAAGTTAAAAAAATGTAAAAACTCTCCCTGGGGCCCCGGGAGCCCCCCCGCTCCCGGCCGCCAAGGAGAGAAACCCCGCTGTGTCTTTTTTTCTTCATTCTGGCTTTTGGCTGCTGTTCGGGCTATTGTGAATAGCCCGTACAGCACCCCCTCGGTTCTCCTGAACCGAAGGGGTCCTGGTGCCGAAGCTAGCCGAAGGATCGGCCGAAGCGACGGCCAGATCCTTCGGCAGCTTTGTGAATAGACCCCCAAGTCTTGTAATTTCAGTCCACAAAAAGGCATGTGGTATCTCTTTACATGACTAGTTTTCCTTTATTTTATCTTTTTAGTTTAAAATGGAATAATTTAAGGGTTAGATAACAGGTTTAGTGCAGTAAAACACTTTTGATATTTAGATAATACATTTTTTATAAAGATTTATACATCAGACATTACAGAGGGACAACCAAGAAAGAAAAAAGGACAGAAGGATCTGGTTAAAAAGAGGTACAGTCTCTCCAAATGAGGGACAGTTGAAACACAGGCAGATCATATAGAAGTTCTAAACCTTCCTACATGATCCAAAATGAGAAAAAAAAAAGGCTTTGGTTGGTGTTCCACTTTATTTTTTTTTTTTTTTTTCAAAATTTTATCCCCAACAGTTTTCTCATACTGAATCTGGTGTAGGCACTTTCCAGACTTGTAATACTTGAAATGTTTTAATATTTTGATTTGATTTTATTTGAACTATGATGTATATTATGATCACTTGTTCCCACAAACACAGTGCACTGCGCATGAACTATTTGCAAAATGGGGGAAACGATCAGATAATCTTGGCACATTTACAAGACCTTTTGACTGAAGCACAGCTCATAGAACAAAAAGAAAAAAATGCCCGAACGATACGGAAGAAAACTAAAAGTAGGTTACATATTTTTTCTATTATTTATTTATTATATTTGGGTGAGTCAGAAATGATCCAAACTCTGGCTGTAGAATTTATTTTAATCAACTTTTAGAAAAGACAAATACATAATTTTTTGACATAATCTCCTTGCTTTTCAATAGATTTTGTCCATCTGTCAACAACCTTTCTTATTCCCTCATTAAAAAATATTTTAGGTTGAGCTGCAAGCCACGAATGCACCGCAGTCTTCACTTCTTCATCAGAGGCGAATCTTCGGTCTCGTAGGACAGAACCATGGCTGATTTGCAAATGATTTGCCACTTAATACACTGTCACTTGTCTGTTCGACAGAATCATTTCACGTGTACGCTCAATGTTGTCATCAGCCATGGATGTGGATGGGCCGACTCCGTCCTGATGGCTAACCCATGTGCGACCTTACTTGAACTTCTCTATCCATTCATACACACTTCTTCATGACAAAACACTTTCTCCATACTGCGTACAAAGTCTTCGTTAAAATAACGGCACTGGGTGCACCCTCAGACCACAAAAAAAACGAATCACTGCACGCTGCTCTTCTTTTGTGCAAATCACAAGTGGGGCAGTTTTTTCTCACCGCAATTACAAATGAACTGACGTAATATGTTCACACCTGCACAGCAGTGACTGGGGAGACAGTAGCCTTGAACGGAAAGCGCTGATAAGACAGTGAGGCCAACAGAAGTTTTAATATAATCAGAATGCGGATAATTTTTGACTCACCTTCGTTTATGAATATATAACTTACAAAATGGGTTAATAAGCATTTCATTAGCCATGGCTTTTGTTAGGTCAGCGTCCATTATGAATGCAATTCATAAGTAATAATATACTAACTAAACAATAGACATATAAAAGGTGTTAATGAAACCCTTTTCAAACAAAAACTTTATGCAAATATTTGTAATAAAATCCAGAGGAATCTTGCATAACTGAAGGTACGGATTAGTTCCAATTGAATATGAAACTTTGAGATGCATTGCTTCCTCTCACATACCGATTAAAAGTTCAAGAAGTTTCTCACATTCATCAATCAGATTCAAACCTGCCTTGAAACATTAAAGTGACATTAAAGTCTCATATTTTCTTTTTTTTTTTTTTACATATATCTACTGCTAGCAAGAAGTAGATATATGCAAAAACATTTTTTTTTAAAAAGTTATCAAATAGGTAAAAACTTACCTTTGTCTCTGCTGCTCGCTCCCGGCTGCAGTACACAGATCAGAACAGCCATGAGGGAGGATGCGAGCGGGCGCACGCGCAGAGGAGATCACCAGCGAGGAGAGCTACTGTGTAAGTCAATGCACGCTGCTGTGAGCGGTGAGCGCGCACGCCGGACAGACTCTGTGTGACAGGAAGAGACAGCAGTCTGCGCTGGATCAGAGACTGACACCAGCGCTGGAGGGATTGCTGAAAAAGACTGGAAGGAAGACGATGATCAGATCAAGAGGCATCACTTAAGATAAGTCCTTAAAGCAGCATGGGGGGGGGTGCCTTGCCAGGGGGATGGTGCCAACTAGGATTATTGTCGCTATAAATGACATTTAACAATGTACACCCTACTTCCCTCCTTTATTAGATGGCCATTAAAAATCAGGCACTGGTGAATTACACATAACCCATATTAAAGTATATTGAGAGAACTTTGTTTTACAGTTTCAGAACTTTGGTATTGTGTAGGGAATACTGACAGTCATTGACAGTCATTTTGGTGTCACCCCCTCTACAAAGTCGGGCACTCGGTCATGGACCGAGAGCCAGACAGTTGCAGGAGAGAGGAGGGGACCCGGCAGCATAACTTATCCCGCCGGGTGAATGCCCCCTCCTCTTTCTGCAAGCGTCCATCACCAAGATGCCCCCCCCCAGGTATCACCAAAATGGCCGCGTATATGCGCGTGACGTCATTGCAAATGTGCCTGATGACATCACGCGCATGCCTGATGACATCACGGCGGGGTTTTACTCAATACCCGCTCGGGGTGGCACCCGGCCTCAGGACGGCCCTTCTTCTCCCCACTGATCAATATTTTTACCCAGCTTCTGCTTTTTGTTTTTACAGTAGTTTGCATATAAATTCCTAAGCTGGCCAGATTTTACCTACAAGATTTATCCCCCATATACTTCGATGGGATTCACCTTAAATTTCAGGTTTGACGAATTATGAGTTGTTATAGAAATTTATCTCGTATTTAAATCCGCTGTGCTTAAAAGCACAGTTCTCTGCTCTCCCGGTATAATCCTGCTGAACACGCTCAGTAAGGAAACACAGACACTCGCTGTTGTCTCGTCAGATCCTCAGTTGTTGTCCTCCTCACTTGAGGAAGACTTTTTTATTTATAGGGGTAACACAGGAAGTACTGGCCACAACAGCCACCACTTCCTCCTAAAACAATAGAATACAGAGCCAGCCAATGAAACACATGTATACACCTGAATAGACAATAGAAAAGGAGAGGGTATGCTCATGCATGTGAAGCAACGTGCACAGTTACCAGCTGCTAGTTCATGTTTCACGTGCACATTTGTTAACAATAGATTTCCCGCCAAAAACACTTACACAAAGGAAGCAGCATGCTTGCACGTGGACGACGCCATCTTTATTCTCCCTTAACACTGGAGCGAACTTTATCCAGCATTGCTCAGTGAGCAATGCCCAATAAAGTTATTATGATGCGCATTGATGGGAGCTTATCTGCAGGGACAATGCCATACTACCTCCAGCACGCTGATCAGACGCATCCGAAATACGTACGCACGTTCCTTTCATAAAGGCAGATATGTATCTTAAATAATACTATGTTCTCAAAGCAAATGTATACACGCCACGCCAATAAATCCGCGCACTGCGCAGGGGCCCTAGATTGGCATCCACACACTCGCTAAGAGAACATTGCTCCGCCACGCATATCCACTCCAATGGTTTATTCCCAGTGCCGAATAATCCGGGTCACGCTCCAATCGAGAGTGACGCAGAAATCCGGACACTGAGACATGATGACAATATTACACTAAAAACACATCCTAGTAAAATTTCCACAACAGAGTAAGATTCACTGAACCATTGGCGAATAGGATATTGGGTTGCTGGAACACAGCTGTGTTATTTTATGTATATGGCAGTTGTTCAGTTACTTACATGTGTGTACAAGAGAATATGGGGGCTACCTATGCTTTTATAGTGCATACATTTTTATTCAATAAATGTGCATATGCTGTTAAACAGTTCATTCTCTTGTGAAGCCTTTTTAATGAACCATTTGTACTATTTATTTCAGAGGTATCAATCAACTGTATATACTAGAAAAAATATTTATGGGTAACTCTCTGTAGTGTGAGAACAGTTTTTGCCTTACAGAATTCTATCGACAGTCATTCCTGTTATTATAGAAATATGCCAAAAAAGACAGTTCCAGAGTCCAGAAACTTTTAATAATAGAATTAGTTCACAAATGACATCTCAGAACAGCCTGTTCTGTGTTGTTTGTGAAATTGTTCTATTGTTTTTTTTTGTTTTTGGACTCTCAAACTGTCTTGCTTGGCGCTCTCATTGTACTTTATATATGTGAATCTACAATTCTGGATCCTCTTGTTTGAGGGACATCCTGTTTTTGATGACAACTGCCTCACTCGAGCCATTGTGCTTTATCATGTTCTGACCTATCTTCTGATTATATGAATCCAGTACCTCACCTCTACTTGTTCCTTGATTTGAATTTTGGTCCAACTGAATGGATATTTTTCTCAGGTCCATTTAGTTATAATTTTACCTTTGTAGACGAACATGGTGGTATGAAATGGCATTTGAATGAAAAATTAATTACACTTGAAATTGAAAATCAGCAATTAGAAGATGAACTTTTCAGATTTCAACTTCAAAGACCGAAGAATAACAGGATTCCCAAGACAACAAATAGAGGTACATTTATATTTTGGAAATGCCATGCTTATGTCTTCTAGTGCGGTGTGTATATATATATATATATATATATATATACAGGTGAAACTCGAAAAACCTGTGTATATATATATATATATATAATTTTTGTGTTATTTGTTTGTCAATGACTAGTTAGTGTATGGAAGAACTAGGTGAGATACATAAGAGTAGCATACATCATTGATTATTTTCCCTTTATTGCTTCCTTCCACCATCATCATACAAAATTTCTGAAGTGCTCTGTCTCCTCTGATTTTATTACAGGTGCACAGTACCTTTCTCCTTCAAATCGTTGGCGATTCCCTTTACCTCCTTAGAGCTAAAGTGCGCACATGCGTGTGCTGAATCGTGACCTTCTGACTATGGCCAGTTGTGTGCATAAGCATGGGCTTACACCTGTTGGCATGTATGCGTTAGCTTGTGTGCTTCATCATGAATTGGCATGAGTCCCTAAAGTTGTGTGTGCACACAAGCCAAGGAGGGTATTTAAGTGCATTCCCCTATGGTGAACAGTGCTGTGACTTCTTGCCAGCTAACTTGTACATGAGATTACGGTTGTTCTGTCTTGCTCATTGCTGACCCAGATTGCCTGACTCTGCCTATAGCTACTGCCAATCCTACTCGTTTTTTAATATTCTTGCCTGTCAACTATCCCGAACTCTGCCTGAACCTTGAGTATCCTTCATTGCCGCTTGCCTTGACATCAGCCTGAACCTCAAACAATTATAGTGCCCTTTACCTGTCTAAACATTGTAGCTATCCTGCTCTTGTGGCCTCTTGGTGGGGTGATTCTGAGAGTCGTAACTTAAAGTCATCTTGCAGCAAAGTAGCCCGTGCCATGTGTAACATTTATGATGGGTCTACTATTGTTCCCAGTTATAGATTTAGGTGATGGAAGTCAAGTTCACCTCATTTAATAAGCTAAGTGAATTTACTCTGCAAATGCAATTTTCTATTTAGGTTGCTTAAAGAGATGAAGATGATGGTGAGTGTTGCCCAGCCATTTCCTGTCTTGGCTGGGTGTTTTATTAACACTGCTTGTAGTTCTTCACACTAGAGGGGTGAGGGTGTGGCGCTACTAGTGGGCATTACTAATGTCAGATTAATGTTCTTGTTACCCACCCATTCATGCCCACATGACACTAGTAAATCCTGCAGAAGAGGTAAAAGAAGAAATATTTTTACAAGTTTGGGCATGCTAATTTTCTGCCCTTTGCTATGTCCAATCAGAATGCAGACTTATGCCCCTTGCAGCTTGAGCCGCAATGTTTACTTGCACTTGTGGTCCCTGTGCAGGGACACATCTCGATGCCATACATTGCTCGCTGCTGCTCCCCACCCCTTCCGTGAGAACCACAAGTAAGAGAAGAACAGTGGAGCAGTCATGTGACCTGCAAATTAAAGATCACTTAAAAGATTAAAATCCTATATCAGACAACATTCCTCTCCCAAAACTCCAGCAACTGGTCTCCTTCCCAGATGTTTAGCGAGTGTTGTTAAATGAAAAGGGGCTACTACACCATGGTAAACGTGGCCCTGTTCCAACTTTTATGAGACGTGTTGCTGCCATCAATTTCAAAAATACCTTATTTTTTTCTTAAATGGTACATTTTAACATTAAAAATGGTTTATTTTACAGTTTAAACATTTTATGTTTTCTATTTTCTATTGTGAATAAAATATGGGTTTGTATGATGTGCAAATCATTGCATTATGTTTTTATGTGGATTTTACATAGCCTCCCAATGTTTTGGGGTATTAGGGTTTTAGTTTCATATTTCCCTGACCAAAAAAAAAAAAATTTAAATTGTTTGTTTTAATTTTTTTAGTCCTGACCTTAATAAATAAATATATAAAATAT